TTGGTTGATTCATATATCTTTGAAGGTTTTGGCCAACGATTCTTCAATCGGCCCCACAGTGCGCCGGCGCCGCCGCCGCCTATAAGCTGCCTCGTTTGTTCTCATCCATTTGCATTATTAATACTGGTTAAATAAACTGATCAAGTTATACTTGAATTCATTTGGCATGAATGCAATATGACCGTCTAAACTCATATCAATAAATTCATATCAAAATATAGTATATACTACCATTGATTGAAGAAATAAGAAGATGCGCAACCTTATGGGTGATTTCGTGGGACAAAAACTGTCCGAGATGTAGTTGGCGATACCGTCGCCGCTAGTCAACCTGTCCGAGATTTAACTTAGTTCTGCGCCGCTTTGTGCTGCTAGCGGTATTTGAGTAACGCGATTTTGGTGCGGTATTTTTTTATAACGTCGCCGTCGTGTCGCGCTCCACAACGAATCAGGAACCTGTTACTGAAGAACGACGATCATATTGACGACAAAATTATAAATTATTTATAATTTGCAAATAAATTATTTATATTCGCTCTTGAAGTTAGCTCGAACCGTAGTAACCGCATAGCGACTCCAGCCGTCGCGATTTCGTCGGTAGTAACTGGCACTGGTATGTACGTAGCGTCGCGCGTGTTCGCTCCAGCTGTCGCGCTCCTATAGAGCCGTAATAAAAAGTATTGAATACCAATAAATGCATGTACATATTTTAAGTCAATCTATTCGTGCTTAAATAATAAAAACTAGACGTCATTTCCAAAATTGAAACCTAACGTATCGCCACTGTCATAAATTCTTCTAGCCATCTGTATTGTTTACAAATTTGTCTATGAAATTGTTTATGAATTTACACGGGCACAGAGACAACGGCAGGATTGGGAGCAGTGTTGCCAGAACTTCTACCATTCTCTATAATAAATTTAAAAATACAATTTATACCATTACGAAAGTTTTATTTTTTAAATTTGCACTTTGTGAAAAAAGGTAGTGGAAAAGTCAGTTAATCTCAGCAAAATGTATTTTGAGCTGGTAGAATGTAGAATGAGTGGGAGGGGGGGTTAATCACTGCGACTTTACAGATATATCGTGTCCCTCTTTCTTGAGTTATAACTCATCATACAGTCCCAGGGCTTTGACAAAAGCCAGTATCTGGGACGGTTTTATAGAGGGTAATTCTCCATCTCCAATATCAGTTGTATCTAAGTTTATAGCACGAATGGTTGTAACAGCTGGTAGAAGTGTAAGAACCTGATAACACTGGTTGGGAGTAGGTAGGTACTAATGCCAGAAATACTGCATAAGCAAGGACCGCGACACTCCAAGTCGGAACCTTGGTTACAAAATCGCGGTATTTTTCTGGAACGGTCGCTATCGTAACGCGACTCATGTGGAACCGGTATTCCCATCACTATAAAGAATACTGTACCGTGGTTTTGTTTTTAGTCGACACAGTGGGTGGTTGCCGGAGACAATGTTGCCAGAACTACGGATTAATCCGTACATTTACGTACTACGAAATCGTCCATAAAGTTGCGCATCTTCTTATTTCTGCAATCAATGCTAAAGATTTTATTTATTATTACTTTGAATGTGGTAGAACAATGATTCAGTAAAACTAAAAGAGTTTCGGACTTCCATTGTCTTTATTTATTTTGCTTACACAACGTTTCGGTCAGAAGTATCACTGACCGTTATCAAGTGTGAACTGAGCAGGATTTATTGCAGTGTAATTAAAACCACTAGATACAAAAAAATATATCAATTTACTAAAAATATTTTTTTCTTCTAAATATAGTTACAAACTAGTATATAAATATTATATACAAAAATAAATTATAAAAACATAAACAAAAATATACATAACATTATTGCATTATATTGTTGAGAAAGCACAGATGACTCGCTAATAAAAGATTTGATTTTCGAAATCCATTGCCTTTACATATTTTCAACAGTGTACAACATCTAGGGAATGCAATCCCGCAAATGCGGGATCCCTCTCTGATTCCACGGGATCAAAGTTGCGAGATTTACCGTGCGGGATCTGCGGGATCGACACCAGGGGATTCCCCTTACGGCATGGCCATTAAAAATAAGTGAAACAAACAGGTTAATTGTTTGATTTCTTTTTGGCGTGCCTAAGTGAAGAAAAGCGTTTAACTAGTACTTGTGGACAACTACGTCAAATAAACTGCCGGACATAATTATCGAGACAAGTAAAATTTTATGGTAAATTTAAAGTTTTTGAATATCGCTTGAACTTGAACTAAAAAAGATTTTGGGATGCGGTTTGGACCAGGTTTTAGTTGAATCTGCGAATTCAGTATGGTACGACAGTGTCAAGTGTGTGGAAAAATAAGCTCAAATTACCCGAATTTGTCTTTTCACAGGTGGGTATTGTTTTCGTCATTGTACATAGGCGTCCCACAAGGGAGCCTCTCACAATCAAAATAATTTCTAATTATATTTGTAATTAATCTATTAAACAAGAACGTAGCAGCCAGTAATTGAATTATAATTCGTCTCAATGACTACCTAACTGTTGTAGATCATAACAAATTTGAATATAAACGTTGCATTTGAAATTTTATTATAAGCCAGAAAGTGACATTTTTTTCTTAAAATTGCGTCATTTCTAGTCATTATATACGATATTCTAAAGGAATTTTGCTCAATAAATAAACAAAGGTGTTACCCGACCTCATCTGACGAAAAAGTGTTAATGTAGTATATTAATATGGAGTATAAATTTTACTAATTAATTTACTTTTACTTTACTAATTAAATGCTTTCCAAAAAACGATACGCCACTGGCCATTAGAACAATCGAAATGCGCCTAGTTGCCGGGGTCGGAAATTTTAGATTTCTCTGTCTCTTCTGTCCTTGTTTGACACATTGGAATGTTTGTACACTACCAACGAGTATTTATGAATGAGATGTTCGGTCTATCTTTATAATGTCTTTGAACGCGATTCATGTGGAACCGGTATTCCCATCACTATAAAGAATACTGTACCGTGGTTTTGTTTTTAGTCGACACAGTGGGTGGTTGCCGGAGACAATGTTGCCAGAACTACGGATTAATCCGTACATTTACGTGCTACGAAATCGTCCATAAAGTTGCGCATCTTCTTATTTCTGCAATCAACGCTAAAGATTTTATTTATTATAACTTTGAATGTGGTAGAACAATGATTCAGTAAAACTAAAAGAGTTTCGGACTTCCATTGTCTTTATTTATTTTGCTTACACAACGTTTATCCTTAAATATAAAGTATAACTGACCGTTATCAAGTGTGAACTGAGCAGGATTTATTGCAGTGTAATTAAAACCACCAGATTTAAAAAAAATATATATCAATTTACTAAAAATATTTTTTTCTTCTAAATATAGTTACAAACTAGTATATAAATATTATATACAAAAATAAATTATAAAAACATAAACAAAAATATACATAACATTATTGCATTATATTGTTGAGAAAGCACAAATGACTCGCTAATAAAAGATTTGATTTTCGAAATCCATTGCCTTTACATATTTTGAACAGTGTACAACATCTAGGGAATGCAATCCCGCAAATGCGGGATCCCTCTCTGATTCCACGGGATCAAAGTTGCGGGATTTATCGTGCGGGATCTGCGGGATCTGCGAGATCGACACCAGGGGATTCCCCTTACGGCATGGCCATTAAAAATAAGTGAAACAAACAGGTTAATTGTTAGATTTCTTTTTGGCGTGCCTAAGTGAAGAAAAGCGTTTAACTAGTACTTGTGGACAACTACGTCAAATAAACTGCCGGACATAATTATCGAGACAAGTAAAATTTTATGGTAAATTTAAAGTTTTTGAATATCGCTTGAACTTGAAGTAAAAAATATTTTGGGATGCGGTTTGGACCAGGTTTTAGATGCATCTATTGTGATTAAGACACTATGTGGTTTTCGAAAATACGAAAATATATTGAGCGAATTCTCGTATACAGGGTGTTTTATAAGAGTGAAAACTTGGTCAAGAATCTTTTTTACCGCAAATTTACAATTTTTAAATAATCGAAATTTTTACCAAGGACGACTAATCTGTATTGAAATTATCGAAATTTAATATTATAGAAAAATTAAAAAAAAGATTAATTAAAATATTATAGAAAAAAATAATTTGATCGGTTTTTTATTTTTTTCTTGTTTTAAGAAAAATACGACGTTTTTTATACGATGGTCCTAAATGGTACAAAAAGCTTTGTACGTTCTGCATATGCCAAAAAATTATTGATATAGAGTGTATCTGAAAGCAGATAACTAACACAAGTTAAAAAAAAATCAACATCAGAATAATATTTTTATTTAGAAAAAAAGTAGATAAATTATAATAAAATTTAAGTTTATTTAGTATTAAATATATTTTTTGAACACCCTGTATACATCGGTCCAATTTCTGTACAGATAGTTTAAGATACACGCTATATCAATATATTGTAGGCCTATGCAAAATGTACAATGCCTTTTGTACCATTTATGAGCAAATGTATGACTATAAATGCATATTTTTCCAAAAAATCGTATTTTCCTTAAAACAAAAAATTTAAAAAAAACACCAAATTGTTTTTTCTAATTTCAATACAGATTAGTCGTACAAAGTTAAAATTTGTAAATTTTCGATAAAAAAAGATTCTTGACCAAATTTGTACACTATTATAAAACACTCTGTATACGAGAATTCGCTAAATATATTTTCGAAAACCACATAGCATTTTAATCACAATAAATGCGTCTAAAACGTGGTCCAAACTGCATTCCAAAATCGGAGAGAGAAAAGAAGAGCATTTATTGTTTACAATCCCGCAATTTTGTGGATCCGCGGGATTGATTGCTTTAATCCCGCGGGTTTGCGGGATTGAGATTTTGGTGCGGGATTGCATTCCCTAACAACTTTCGATTGCTATTGTATCCATAAGAGAAGATTTGCCAAACCAACCAATATTAAAGCAAATAAAAGTCCCATGACCAATCTTTTATTACCGAATCACTATAATCTTTTATTCAAACTCCCGAGTATTTTCTTATCCAATCTCTGTGATAAGTTACACTAGTGTACACTGTAGGATACCCCGCTTCGCACTGTTTTGCCCCATATGACACTATGCCGATTTGTATATTGTTCCTTGTGAGTGGACCACCCGAATCCCCATAACAGGCCCCCACAGCGCCTGTCAATGTGTCGTTGCCTCTGCTGCAAAGGTCCGAATCTGTTACATTTTCAAAATACTGCTGACAAAAAGACACCTTGTCCATTGTGACGTAAGCCTTGCGGAGGACGGAGGAAAGTATGTTGTTGGATGACGTGTATCCTGAAATAAATAACACATTTGTAGCTAGGTAATAATTTGTTTGAGAAAAAAATGAGCCTTTTATACATAACTAGCGTGTACCCGCAACTTCGTTTGCATCGAATTAATCATTTGTAATGGTGATAATTGATAATAAAGCAAAGCAAGAATTTCCATTAACATATCTACAAACTGGATAAAATTTTCTCACATTTATGTCAGCATGAGAAAAAACAATCGAGAAACCCCTCCTTATCGAACAAATCAATCCGCTTTAAAGGTCAAGCAGTTTAAGTAGAATCGTGATTACTCAATGGTCATATTTTATGAAACACCCTGTATAATTTTTTAAAAAATCTTAAAATATGTAAAGCAACAAAATAAAATATACGTGTTTAAGATTTTTTCCGAAAAACTCACCGGTTTTTAAATAAAAAATATTCTAATATTTGAGGGGTGATTTCACCCCCTTAGAATTCGAGTTTCGAAAAATCCCTTCTTCTCGAACCTCTACACCCTAAAGTCAATCCGTTTTCCAAAAATCAGCTTTTTACGTCAAGCGCTTTAAGCAGGATCGTGATTAATCAATGACCAGATTTTTCGAAACACCCTGTATACATTTTTAAAAAATCTTAAAATATGTAAAAAACAAAATAAAATATACGTGTGTAAGCGTTTTTTCGGAAACTTGACCGTTTTTTAAATAAACAATATTGTAATATTTGAGGGGTGGTTTCACCCTCTTGGAACTGGAATTTGGAAAAATCCCTTCTTATCGAACCTCTACACCCTAGAATCAACCTGTATGCCAAAATTGAGCTTCTTATGGTGCGTTTAGCACGAGCTGCGCGTGCGCGCACAGCATTCGTTCGCGCTCTAGGCTCCGTTCAAATTAAAAACTTATTTTTCGACGAATGAAGTGATTCACTTGTGCGCGCACAGCAGAGTTGTGTTGGTGAAAATAATGGACGACCAAGAAATAGTCGGAGCTGCAGTCATTGTTATGCACAGCTTAATTATTAAAAAGAAGAAAAATCGAAAACATCGTCGCTGGTGGCAAAGCCAAATTTTTGGATATAATTGATATAATTTACTGCAACAACTTGTGTGTGAGGAGGGCTATGATCAGTCCAAAAACTGTACAAGAATGACCAGGCCCGACTTTGAATATTTACAAAATTTAATAACACCAAAAATTACGAACAAAAGATACAAATTTTAGAATAGCAATTTCATTAATATCGACATATTCAATATTAATTTTATTTACAAGGTCTCGCCATGCGTTATTTCTTTTCTTTTTTTGTTTTTTAATAATACGAAGAATGTTTAACATCCCATAATATAGGCAACTTTTCATATTCTTCAATTAATAATAACGAAGATTCATTGATCCACTCCATAATTTTAATAAAGAAATCGAAAAAAAATCACGGACGCAGACAAAATAAATTGCCGGTGCAAACTGAGCGTTCGCGTACACATAAAATCCCTTTGAGCACGGATCAAAAACCGACACCAGACGGCTCACGTTCGCGGCTGCTCGCGCGCAGGCAGATTCAGAGTGAGCGTGCGCGCACAGCCATTCGCGAAGGATCAGTGCGTGCGTGCTCAAATCTAAACGCACCATTACGTTAAGAGTTATTAGTACAGATTTTTCCAGTACTTATTAGCTATATTTGCTCGTTACTACCAGTGACTGTGGGCATTTTTTTGTTAAAATATAACTTTAAGACAAAAATAAAGAATTTTTAAGGAACTCTCTGACTTACCCCATCCGGCTACTATAGCTGTAGTACCAGAATAATCTCCCGATCCACTGTCGCATAGGGAGATTGATTGGATAGCCCAGGTAAACGTTATAAAAGATGGCGTTTTGACTAGAGCTATGTCGTTGCCCTCCAAGTAGTTACCGTTATATTTTTCGTGGATTATCATGGTGGTTGAGTAGAAAATTTTCTGAGTCTTTTCGTTGGTTTTCCATTTGTGTGCTCCTAGAATTATTTCAACCGTTTTAGAACTGAAACAAACAAATATTGTGAGTTAAAAAATAGTTTTAAAGTTATTTACGGTATACCATTGAACACAAACAAACTGTAAGTCATATATTTCTTTACTGAATGATATATTTCACGTATTTCACGGGTATAATGGTATTAGGGATTTAGATATGATATGATATGATTTTAGGAAGTATCAATAATAAAAAAATATTGGTATCCAGACATGGCTATACCAATATATATACGATACCAATTAAACTTTTAGTTCCGTAATCGAGGGCGCAATTTTTAAATTCATTCATGACTTCTTAACACAAACATTCTTAATATTTAAAACAACATTCTTAAATATTTACCTACCATATTTAAACTTAAATAATAAAAATGTATACATATGTACTATCCAATCCAATTGCAACTCCAATTTTATCTCAAAATTTTTATTTTTAATTCTATTATTTTTGTAACTTGGATCGGATAAATCATATTGAATTTTGTGTATTTTAACCTTATTGGTTGCTCTATTAACTTCATTTCTAAATTGCAACAAGAAAAAACACACAAAATAACTGAAAATTCCTACCAGTTGGGTCGCGATGACGCGATCAACTCGACAAGTTGAATCTGATCGCCACCGCAGAATAGAACGCCGCGCCGCCACACAGTGCTTCGAACATATGGCTCTAGAGGACAAAAATGCAAAACTTCTCTTTTATAGTAGGCAATTTATTCAAACTAGGTTTATTTGACACAAATGATGAGTACTCTCATTGTACTAAATGATGATGTTCTTAGTCCCACGTTTATGAAAAAAAAATCTTATAAATAATAAAAATGTGGGAGCTGTGTTCCATCTAAGGAAATAATAATTTATAGTATGAAAACGGTGTAAGTATTAAATAAATCCCTGTGATAAAAAAGAATTGGAATAACATTAGAACATGATTCCTACAATATACGCCAATATAAGATAAAAATATTTTTCTTTAATGAAAAAGAAACATTAATGCTATATTTAATTAAAAAAAACTTAAGATACTATAAATTTACTTTAGGACAACAAAATGCATAGATCGTAACTACTCTGATTCAGAAGAATCACTGCTGACAGAATCTTCCAAATTTATAGTATCCAAATCACAGGTAGATGAAATATCCTCACATATAAGATATTTCTGTACATCATTTTCTAATATGTTACTTTTTCGCCTTGTTACTGTTCTTTTTGTTGGTATGAGGGGTTCGGATGTTAATAGTAACCTCTTTAAAGACCATATCAATATATTATTTTTTCGTTTTCTTGGGTATGAGGTTCTATAATAAATTGAAAGATGGAAACTTTTTTATGCGACGTTTCGCTCTAAAATAGTGGGCTTTTTCAGGCACAAATGGTCTCATTTGACTGGAAGGTTCATCAATATCTAATAAAGAACACATTTTTTGAAATACAAATAATTTTGAGTTCTTGTCCTTATGATCAAGCCAAGTATAAACCAGATCGGCATTGGTCATAAATTTTACTCCATCTGAAAAGTATTATAAAATAAAGTTCGTAGCAAGCAGACGCAGGTGAACTATACAAAAATTAAAAGTGTATGAATATGTCAACAAAAATATTCAATAAATACGATATGTTTTGATATGTTTTTTCTTAAATGCCGTTTTGAAGTTTGAAAACGTATAATTTTTATACCCATTTCAGAATCATCTTAAAAAATAAATAAAAAATAAACAATCACGAACTTGTTTAGAAATAAATTTAAAGTACATACCTTGTTTAAGAATATCCATAGTGGCTTTTAATTAAGTACGTACTAACTCGTTTACGTTTAACTCCATATACAGAACTACTATGAATGTTATTCTTTTCATTGATATAAGATAATGATCGCAAAATTTATTTTTAGTGAAAATATTTGCTTACAAAAAAACGCTGTTTATGAAAAATAATATACAGGATGGTTGAACATTGCTATAAGTATAAAATTACATATTCAGATATTAGTAAATTTTAACTTTTTTGTCGAATAGAACGCCGCCGCCAGGCCGTTTCGTCTCCAAAACTCGATCGCGCCAGTGTGAAACGTCTCATCCCTGATCGGGATCATGAGATCGTGATCACGCCCGTGATCGCACCAGTGTGCGTATAGCTTAATAGTCGTTGCAAAAAACTCATCGCAACCTTATTAGAATATTTTGAACGGGAAAGCGGTAGTAATGGCCCTTTATGTCTCTTAAGTGCTGATAGAAAATGAGTTTTGTTGATGTAAATAATAACGGTTGATATATTTATAATCAATTTATTTTTATTTCCTAAAATATTTTGATTAAAAGAAAATATGTAAAAGTGGGCAACGCTGTGCCGGTCAAGCTTAATCACGTGACTAAAAGTTTTTTTGGTATGATCTATAAGTACTCGTAGTTCGAATGAAAATATACCAGTATATTTTTTAACTTACTTATATACGCAATGGGCAGCTGTCAATATATATCTAGTTGATATAATAGAGCCTCCACAAAAATATGTTTCGTCAATAAAAAGAGCAGCTTGGTGTGGAAGTGAATTTGCAGTAACTTCCGAGCCACCTACGATGTTGTACATCATATCAGATCTCATTATTGGTGGTAGCTAAGAAAAAAGAAAAAAAATTTAGTAGGTAACCTAATTAAAAGCTTTTGCTACTTATCAACCATAGCTAGTTTTAATCTAAAGTATGATACGTGCTACCTTGCACGTTTTCCGCCAGATGGTGGGATAGTCTAGATCTCACCGTAGTTTTAAAGTACTGTCAAGGATATAAAGATAATAAGTTTAGTGAAGAGTTTGTTAGGTTGATAGATCTAGAGATATACCAGAGTACTGTACTGATCTAAAGGGTGTTTCTTTGGGTTTGGTCAAAGCTTATTCACAAAATTAAACACAGGCAAGAACGCAAATCAATATATCATCACAATATATTTATCAACTTTATTAACGGCGCCAATGAACTCAGATCAATTGATTGCTTAATTTGTTTATTGAAAAGTTAATAAATAAGTTAATTCGTCTAGGATATACGCACCTGATTTAGTATTATTAATTTAATCTAATACTCTAAATGTTATTGCATGGTTATTGCACATTGTACCAGGATAATGATATGTCATATTATGTGTCAACTCGTTGATTAAGTTAAGTGTAACTGAATTTGTAAACACATTGGGCTCTTAAAGTATTTCCGGTACAAATCTATATTTCAAGTATCAAGTATCTTAATCTAAGTTCCTATTTGTTATTCTAGTTTTGGATAAGATACGTTACTACAGTATGTCCCCGGATTGTCTTTACAAGGGGAAAACTTTTTTATTATTGACATTTTGCGTAAAATGGATTCTTCATAAAAATGTTTGCCCCCTTGTTCTATAATGGTTATACAACTTAACAAGTATAGCTAGAGACGTGAGAAATATAAAATAAGAGACGCCCCTCGATGCGCAGTGGACAGTCCGCAAATTTGCTTTAATCAGATTTGTCGTAGCGTAATTGCATCTCTCTTTCGCCGAATGCGTTCTCTCTCTATCGTGTGCGCGACCCATAGACTTAAAATAAAATATAGACTGAGCATCTCATTCATAAATAGCTGGAACATGCGGTCAGACAATGTCTTGTTATTGTTGTGTTATTGTTTTAGGTTATAACGAGTGCGACACGAGCGATAGATAGGTTGTCTCTGTCGTAACGGTCGTTCCCTGACTACTCTGACGAAAAAGACAACACTGTCTTTCGTTTCTCAAGTACACCTGAACTCTCTGTATCATAGCCGGTAATTTTTTTATTTTAATGAGGCTACAATTAAATTAAAAATATATCGTATTTAAACTTTTTTATATTTTATTAAGATTTAGGACAGGTTTTTTTAAATAAAAGTTTAGAAAAAACGTCTTAGAGTCTAAAATGGATAAAAATAATAAAATACACGTTATAGAAGAAATTTTATAATCGAAATTACGTAATTTTTGAAATTAATAATAAATTATTAATTTTAGTCAAACATTTACAACCCCTAATATTAATCAAAACAGGATCTATTCCACAGATATAATAGAATCGGCGACAGGGAGAGAAAAAAAAATATGATTGTTGTAATTTTTTTTCTGGTTAAGCGATGTCTTATTATGTAAATTAGAGAAAACATAAATCTGTTCCATTAAAGCAAGGAAGGTGATAGGAAGTGGATAAAATAAAAACTACATTTATTTAACTCGGTACTGTCTTTATTATACCGGGTGCGTCCCAAAAGTGGCTCATCCCCATAATTTTTTTATATTTTCAAATAAAAAAACAAGATTTAGTATGTTAGTATATGACATAAATTAGGATTGATTGACGCATTCAATTGTTTTTGGTCACTTCCTGTTTCACCGGAAATGACTAAAACTTTTTCTTTTTTTTTAAACGGCACCCTCGGTATATTTCTACTTTATTCGATAGAAAATGACACTCTGAATAGAATGACATATCATATGTCAACTTTTGACATTTTCGCATATGGTTTAATTGTAATTGTAACACGCGGTTCATAACGACAATTTGTCACCCTTGTTCCATTTGAAAAAATTGACATATGTATGATTAAAAATACGATTTGTACATCTTTTAACCGGCCTAGACAAGACACGAAACCCATTAGACGATCAAAACTATTTTTCCAAGGCTCCTTGATTAAAACTTAGTGTTTTTAACAACACCATGGTACCCTGGATTGAAATTTAAAAGTTGACATATGATATGTCATTCTATTCAGAGTGTCATTTTTATCGAATAAAGTAGCAATATACCGAGGGTGCTTTTATAAATCAAAAGATGTAATCATTTCGGTGAAACAGGAAGAGACCAAAAACAATTGAATACGTCAATAAATCCTAATTTATGTCATATACAGTACGTCTGCTGGATCTGTGTCTATGAAAGGAATGCGGACAAAAAACATTTAAATAAACAGCAATATATTTTATACGTCGACTTGACGAGTACGTCACCGCAAATAGCTCCGCCCACTCATTTTATTGGCTATTTGCAAATTTGTCGAATTTTTATGGATGGGACGCGTCGTTTAATTTTTTACGAAAAACATCGAGAGAATATTGTTTCCTCTCTCACGGATACCCCGTAGCTATAGAACGGACAGACGTACTGTACTGTACCTACTAACATACAAATCTGTTTTTTTATCTGAAAAAATAAAAAAATTATAGGGGTGAGCCACTTTTGAGACGACCCGGTATATTAAAAAATATTGTTTCATAATGTAATATCATTTTAAAATTCTTGTATGTTATTTTAGGTTCTGAAGATAATTTTAGAATAAACCGGAATATATTTTTAATAAAAACATTATCAATTATTAACACGGTTATAATTATGATTTTGTTACAATGTAAGTAAGTAAATAATGTAATGTAAGAGAAACAATTCAGATTTTACATTTTACTAAATTATTATCTAAATAAGCGCCTTTCTACAACAACGCCACTGACTCCTAATGGGTAAATTGAGAGTTGCCTACCGGTCGAAAGTCGTTTCAAGACTTAAATGGATTATTTAAGTCAAATTTCTTGCAAATTTGGCACTGGCGAACCATATTTTATAGTTCTTGAACAGAAAAAGACAATAAAATAAACGCTTAAGGACTACAAGCTCAGAAAATGCGTTAATACAGCCGGGGACATAGCGGCAACAAAGCTTTACCGCACACGTGCGACGCGTACTACAAGGTAATAAATGAATGAATAGGCTCCCTCGCCTCTAATCGGTGTTGTCATATTGTAAAGAACTTATCCTTTTTAAACAGTATCCGACTTATAATTTAGTAGTATAAGGACTATTTAATACATCTATGGAATATTAAAACCTACTTTATTAAACTGTAGTCAAAGCTGTAGTATTAATATCTCAATAAATGTGTATAACAAGAAAAAAATATTGATAATATTAAAGACGTGACAACATAGGCTGGATGAGGAAGGCTCGGTCGACTGTACCCAGAAGTAAACATGTGTACAAAAAAGCTTGTTTGACCGCGTTGAGATGTAAATAGTGTAGTCTATATTTTATTTTAAGTCTATGGCGCGACCGGTGCTATCCCCAAGTCTCTTCCTATATTTGTCAAACTGTACATTTCCAAATTTCCGTTTTCGTTTTAGAGAAAAAAAAACAAATGGTTGATTTTTTTCGATTTTTGTTATTAATAGAATTTTAATTAACGTTATATTTTTCGCTGTTTAAAAATGTTAAAGAAGCGCAAAATTTATTTAGTTCAATGCTACGAAAAGGGTGATAAAAGTTATGGGAAAATGTGATACTTTAACAAAATATGACTTTAATCAAAATTAATAATAACCATCTGTCAAAGAATGAAATCTAAATTACATTACCATACAAACGCGTTTTGATTTTCAGGACTTGTTTCAACCATTCAACCATATTTTCATGTTCTTTTTTATTAAAAATTAAAGAGAAGTATAAACGGGATTAACCATTTTAGAAAAAGGAAATTTTTTTAAAGAAGACTGCATTTGTCTCAAAATGTCAGTAATATAAATTTTTTTTCCTCTTGTAAAGACAATTGGGGACCATACTGTATACATAATTAAAAAATAATAAAAAAATGTATTTTTACAATTATTTTTATAATTTTATTCGAATTAAAATCAGTGACTCTTGATATCTGTTTATAACAATCTATAAATGAGAGATCTATAACATTCTATATTATTTATTTTGATTTCCATTTACGGTGATTATGATTAAAATTTAATTAATACATACATACTTGAAAACATAATGCAAAAACAAGTTAATTTTTATGTTAAGTACTCAAAATTAAAATTTCCAATATTAAAATCATAATACAAAAAGCATGATACTTATATAACCATATCACTCAACATAAACAAGTATATTCAAGAGTATACGTTATATTTGTGCTATATTGAATGATATATCTTATTAATCGTTGAAAGACTAAATATAAATACTAAACACTACTTACCCCTGCCCAGCTTGGGCAGATGACACTAAACACAACTGACAAATTTATTAAGTAAATTTGATATTCCATTGCCCTAAAAGAACCTTTCAATATATCTGCTAATAAGAGATTGTTCAAATTCACATTATGTCTGGAATGGTTTTTAAACGTGCCTCTCCTACTTATATATTATCAAGGAGTGTTTTAAATTTGATCGGTTATTATATCAGTTGATTAATCTAAACGATACACTTTACAGCGAATCCGCATTTTCATTCACCATCTTGACCTTGAATGAAAACAATCGTTTTCAATCAGTGAGTTACTGAGAACATTCTAATATTATTTGGGGTAACATATAAATTAAATTTTTAAAACAAAAAGCAATTCCTTTCTTAATATCAGATATTTTTTATAATTTTCTACAATTTTTTTAGCTAACAAATCCAATACAGGGTGAGTTAAATAAATGTAAAAATTTTTGGGGGTGGTATATTTCGACTCCAGAAACACGTCTATGAGGTTTTTTACGCGAAAAAAATGGACATTTTTATTTTTCGAGAAAACATTTTAGATAGCTTTTTAATTTTTAGTTAAAAAACATGATATCAGTAGTTTTCGAGATACTCATCGTAAAAACTCACCCTGTATAGAGTATGTCCCCGGATTGTCTTGAAAACATTTTTTTATTATTGAAATTTTGAGAAAAATGGATTCCTGCATCCCGTTTATACCTACCTACCTACTTTTGCAAATTTCCATACCGTTTTAGAGAAAATTAAAAAAACATGAAAATACGGATGAATTTTTTCCTAAAAATCAAAACTCGTTTCTGTGGTTTGGTTTGGTTTGACAGTGGTCTTCAGCAACATTCAATAATTTCTTGCAAATAAAACACGAATCCATTTTTCAATAGCACTTGTGAATTTCCTAAAAAAAGATATTTAAAGCTACCACCACTTAACATGAAGGCACCCGGTGTGATATTATCCAAAGAGGATTCCGCATCGCTGAGAGATGGTGCAGGACTGTCGGGCTGAGTATTAACTCAGATAAAACCGCAGTAGTGCCATTCACCAGAAAGCGAAGTTTGAAAAACTTGAAAAGAATCCATCTAGATGGAAAGGAAATACTGCTATCACAGGAAGTGAAATATCTGGGAATAACCCTGGATAGTAAACTTCTCTGGAACAGGCATATTAAGAACATTACCAGCAAAGCCACAAAGGTGGGGCTGCGCCCCTAACATTTTGCGCTGGATGTATTCCATGATAGTAAGACCCATGATTACTTATGGAGCAGTTGCTTGGTATACAAAACTAGAGCAACGTACAGCAAGGCAAAACCTGTGCAAAGTACAGAGACTGGCATGTATCTGCATCACAGGTGTCATGAGAACATGTCCAACAGCAGCAATGGAGGTCATTCTAGACCTAACACCACTGCACATTGTCGTCGGTAGTTATGCCAATGCGACAATGATTAGAATGGTTACTGACGGAAACAGTACTGTGAGAATTTTCAGGTCAGGGGCTTGGAACACCCTCAAAAAGAAAATTCCACTTCTCCAACTCCCAGTGGATGACATACCAAGAATTTACAACTTTGAGAAAGACTTCATTGTAGTATTGAGTAATAAAAAGGATTGGAAGAAAGAGACGCTTACTCAGCATATAAAAGACCATACCATCAAGTGGTATACGGATGCTTCCAAAACCAAAGCAGGGACAGGGATAGGAGTATTTGGGCCGAAAACTGAATACTCCGAACCAATGGGCACCTACCCCAGTATCCTTCAGGCAGAAATTTGCGCTATCGAAAGATGCGTACAATTTATATTAGATAGGAACTATCGAAAACAGGAAATTGCCATCCTATCCGATAGTCAAACAGCACTTAACGCGATCAACCCAGTAACCATCAATTCGAAGTTGGTCAAAGAATGCCTGGAGAAGCTCAACAAATTAGGCAAAGAAAATAAAGTCCTCCTACTCTGGGTGTCTGCTCACCAAGGGATAGAAGGCAATGAAAAAGCAAATGATCTAGCTAGAAAAGGAGCGAACACTCCACTAACTGGACCACAACCGTTCTGTTTTCCAAACGGGAACCAACTGAAAGCGGAACTGAAGAATCTGGAAGACTCCATCCGTAACTTGGAATGGGTGTCCTCCAACAGTCTAAGACACTCGAAAAAGTTCCTTAGAACTTATGACCGAGAAAAATCAAAGGTTTTCCTTGATTTAAGTAAAAACAATCTTGGATTGTCACGGGGTTTCTAACAGGACACTGTCTCCTCAACGAACACCTCAGTAGGCTGAAACTGAGAAACAACGGCGAATGCAGATTTTTGTGGGAAAATGGGGAAACACCAGAACAACTTATCACTGAGTGCGCCGAGACGACGACCATTCGTGCCATGAACCTTGGTACGTCTGATGTCGAGGATGGAGAGCTGGCCTCTGTGGAGCCGTCTCAGATACTGGCTTTTCTTAAAGCCTTGAGACTGTATGATGAGTTATAACTCGTTATAACTCAAGAAAGGGGAACACACAATAGATCTATAAGGTCGCGGTGATTAACTCCCCTCCTAAACATTCTACATTCTACCACCACTTGTTCATGATCTGGGCGCTATCTCCAAAAATAGTCAAGTTATAAAAAAAGTTCATAAGGCAAAGGTATATGTACTCTTATTTTGAACGAGTTTCCTAGGGTGAATTTGCTGAAAAAAGAGTAACACACATGAAAACTACCCTAATTTGTTCATGAACTGGACGCTATCTCCAAACATAATCAAGCTGCAAAAAAAATTCATGAGGAGAAGTTGCTTGTCCATTTACTATGAACAACTTTTATACGGGTCAATTTGCTGTAAAACAAACTTTTTGAAAACCACCCCAAAGGGCTCATAAAACGGCCGCTAAGTCGGAAATAATAAACTTATAAAAAAAATCATTAGGCGAACTTATAGAGAATGTTCTTATGTACAATTTGCGTCTAATTATTTTGTTGTAAAACCGCAAGGGGAATATTTCCGATTTTGTCAATTTTACACTCAGAAGACAGTCGCTGACAAACTCAGAGAGAGAAAAAATCAGCTTGCCCGTATTTTTTTTTTTCACTCTTTATACGGCGATACAATTTTACTGGATTATCATCTATCAGAGAATGAAAACGAAATTATATTGCCATAGAAACGCGTTTTGATTTTTAGGAAAAAAATTCAATTATATGTATTTTCACGGTTTTCTTAATTTTGTCTAAAACGATATGGAAATTTGGAAAAATATAAACGGGTTTGACCATAAAATAATAAATACAAGAAGTGTCAAGTCAATGTTAAATTATGGAAACAGCGTGGCTGCCTGGGTAACTAATTTTCAGATATGGCGGCTGGGACATTTGACATGACATAGACATGACAATTTCAATTTTATGAAATTTATTTCCGTTTCCGGTTTTTAATGGCGGGCTGTTCAGGAGGTTTAAATGAGGGTTAATAAACTTTTTACTCTTTCTAGTAGTAAATAATACAACAAAATTACTCAAAAATATTTATTTGGAATTTAGAACAATGTAAATATGCAAATCAACACAATTAAAGAGCTATAATCCAATAAACTACTGTATCAATATCAAATATTTAAATAATATCAGAGATGCTGTGTTAAAGTGAATTAGTAAAGTAACAGTGCATTGACTTACAGAAACTTGAAGATAAATAAATGTTTTCACAGCTTCACGGGCATAAAACTAAATAACTGGAAGCAGGAAAAAGGCAACCGGAACCCACACAAAACCTGAAATCAAAAAAAATATGTAAAAAACATAAATATAGGCACATAAGACTTTTGTGAATTAAATCAAACAGGACTTGAATGAAAATAAAATGAATAAAAAATATGATACATATACATCTAATACCTCATTTGTATTTTAAAAATAATCTACATACATAGATTTATAGCATTATTGCTATGAAAATACATAATAGGTACCTATGTGATATGTAATTACGCATTTCTGTTCATCTTGTAGAAAATTAATGTAGGCCAATAATAGTTCAATAATCATAATTTACCTTGTATAACTTGCTTTCAATTGCTCAAAATCACCGATCAGTCTTTAAAGTAGAGATACGGAAAAATCCTTGGCAAAGAATATCCCAAGATCCTTGGGTTTAAAGCTAAAAAAATATAAAAACAGTTAATATATTACCTATTTTTACATATAATATGGCCCATACCTACTACACGCAGAAACGTCGATTTCATCATTTTCTTCATGTAATTAATATCATATATACTTTATTAAAGTGTTAACAAGGAACTTTATATCAAAAAACATATTTGTACTTATAAATTTCAGCCGACATATCAGAAACAATCTTCCAATCAAATCTAAACGGCAGAAATTAAAATGGCGCCCGACCTTGCCAGAGGCCTCGGGAGCTGACGCTGACACACAGACAAAAGACAAAAGAACAGGACGCCGACGTGCATAAAAATGTTCCGTAGCAGAAATTGACAGAAATCATATAGAAGTATTCAGATTTTTGTCTAGGACAGTCTAGAAGGCCATGCTTTCTGCCTGGGTAGAACCGCGCCACAACTGTTTCCAATTTTCCGGTTTACTGTCACCCCCCTGGGTTTGACCAACAAGCAAAAGTGAGTTTTATAAGAGTATAAAATATATATAAGTGTATGACTAAAATGTAAGGTTTTTGACATATTTAACAATTTCTAAAAATAAAGAACAATTTTTAAATTACAATAAAAGCTACCTAAATTGGAATTTACCCGGTATAGCCTAATATCTAGTTAAATTAACTATTGTACGTTAAAAATCAAATTAAAACTTGATCCAAAAAGTTATACAGGGTGAGACAAAATTAATATTGAACATTGGTCACCTTTAACCTTAAAATTTTTTATGAAGAATGCATTTTTTCCAACATGTCAATAATAAAAAAGTTTTTTCTTCTTGTAAAGACAATCCGGGGATATACTGTATATATAAAATGTGTATTTTTGTTGATTTAAATAGTTTACATTACATTGTTTTTGAATGAAAAAATAAACTTAAAAATAAAAAATTTACTGAACGTATTACATTTGACTGAACATATATGTCACGTTCATGTTATCGCTGACAAAAAAACTCATTCAAGTCTAAACATTACTATAAATTGAAAAGTACTT